AGCTTCCAGGCTGGACATGCAAATTATCTTCCAAATAAAGAGGGATGAGAGAAGCTAAGGAAACCATAACTGCGTGAGTGTTGGGTTTAAGGGAAACAATGAAGCAAGAAACGCTGGGTAGAGAGGGCTGGAGGAATCTGTGCTAGGTACCTGACATACGCTACCACTGTGTGCAGCCTGGTAGAAAAAAAGCACTGTGCAATGTGGAAAGCCAAGAAGAAAACATTATCAGCTGAGGGTGCTCAGTCTGGGGAGTGGCCACTGTGTGACAGGAAGGTAAGGAGACCTTTGCCAGAGGCTGAATGTGGAGGCTGAATACAGGGAAGAAAGAGGTTCCCTTATTACCAATTTCAAGGCTCCTACGAGAAATGGTAACTTGTTAAGCCACAGTAATTCAATTATGTTTTCTCATGTGTCTGTGATCTGCAACTACATTACAAGCTGTGCTGGTAACAGCTATGTCAGTCAAGGATTAAAATTCTGCAGGAACACCTCTGTTGATAAGGGCAGTGAATAAGCTTTCTAGTATCAATAGTAACACACATATAAAGTGCAGCTCATTTAGAACTTCTCATCCTCTTTTTTCTATATCCTAAGGAAAACACTACACATTTTTGTCTTTTTTTTTTCCCATACAAAACTCGAAAGTTCTTCTTAATAACTAGTAAATCACGGAAATGCAGTTTTCTGGTCTTGCACGCTAAATTCCGTAGAGGACCTAGGAGCAGAATGCAATTTTGAAAGTGGCTAATTCACTTGTAGGGAGCTCCAGAACTGGGGTTCGCTCTTAATTTGCAAAGCTTCCAAATAGAAGCAGTATAATGCCTTTTTAAAAAACATTTAACAAAAAACCTGCAAGCAGATGACATCTCTCTTACATTTCTTATACGTCTCTGTAGCATTTAAAAAGAATAACCTGAAAGCACTGCTGTGATCAACATAAAACATGCTGTTCTCCTCACAGTGGTAAGACAGAGTTAATATTGTACATTTCACTGCTGATCATTTAACAAATGGTCTGATGTGTTTAATTAATTGTTGGCAGAAATGGAAAATTCTGAGGTTCATTATATAAAAGGAAGGTGGATTACAGGATTTTTGGAACAGAAAATACATGAACTAAACCATCTGGCTACTCAGTCTCAGTTTTCTCTACCAGTGTACAAAACTAGTAGAGTACACTTTTTATGCTTCTACAGTGCAGACACTCACCAGTTTAAAAAACTTTAAATTA